AGGCGACAATATAAATTTTTCTAAATAAATAAATAAAATACAGCCCAGCAAGACATCCCTGCAGCGTGTAACTCTTTTCCCACCCACATTAAATACCTGCCTTAATAAAATTTAAAAAAATAATAATTAAATGTTAATCAATCCCTTAAGCATAAACCCTCCTCATTACATTTGCTAATTGCATTGTGGATATTTACCTTTATTATCAAAGAACATAGTAAGTTTTTGCTGATCAGAAAACTCTACAGGATTTCTTTTCTGGATACTGCAGTGTTTGAACTGATTCCAGTTTGGATTCTGGTTTATTGCATTTGACCTTTGGCTGTTAAGGGAGCAAATCATCTCTGGAGTAGTGAGAATGCTTGTGAGGTCCCTCTCAGCTGCACTGTGGATAGGAGGTATCATCTGATGCGTTTCTTCACCATCGTACAGGCTGGGTTTACTGAATATTTCATTTGCATCTCCAAAATCTGTGAACAGCTGGTCAATATGGCTTTTGTTAGCAAAAGAACAGTAAGACTGAGAAGAAGGAAATGCCAGAAATTGATTTTCTTCTTCAAACAAACTTGGCTGGAAGTTTACATCTTGGTTAGTCTTCATCTGGTCATTTACAGTATGAAACAATGATATTTCTCCATTTGCTTGACTGTTTCCAGAATCCTTATCAATGGAATAACTGTATCCTGGACTTGGGGGTTAGAAATGGTAAAATGTGAATTGCTGGTATGTTACAGACAGTATCAATGTTTTAAAATTTATTTTTATTTTTTTTGAAAATTTTTTGTTAGTTTTTAAAAACAAACAAACAAACAAACAAAACATAAAAACATCCAGCTTTCCTTCATAAATATACAGTGTGTCGGTTGGTTTACCAGTTTTTGTGCATTCATTTCGTAGTCTCAATTACAGTTACATTACATATTAACTCAAATTACCAATCAAAAATTATATACCCTAGTATCACTATCAAACAATCGTAAAGTATGAATGAATAAAATTATAGTAATATGATTGTTTGATAGTAAAATTTACTTTTTACTTAATATGAAAGACGGACTTCTTGCTCACATGACATTGTTTTGGGGTTTAGAATATTGCAATAATCTTAATATAGATTTTTATCCTTAAACAAAAACTGGAAATCTGAGTTTCCTATATTTTACTTGAAATATATTGTTCAATAACTGTGATTAACCAGTCGAACCACTGTATGTCACTGTGGCTCCATTAATGTGAGGAAAAGAGGGGTAATAAAAGTCACAGGAAATGAAATCAAAGCACAAAATACCTAATGAAACCTCTTAAGAGTTGGGAAATGTTCTGATTTGGGCCATTGCTCATTTTATACCTAATATTTTAAGCAAATCAAATAGAAGCAGCAGTACTGTATTTAATCATCCATTCATTTATCTGAATGTGTACATTTCAGAAAAAAAGAACTACCATACTCTGTCACATTTGATAATCTCTTTAATTTGATATTACTTAGGTAGTGCTCAAATACATTTAGCTTTAGGTACTTAAGCTCATTTGTAAACATGATAGTCCAGCGAAATGAACAAAATAGCTGGAGGATTAGCACAATTCTGATTTCTAAATCAGGCATGGATGCAAGTGTCTGCTTATTTTCAATAAAACAGGTCATTTTGGGGGGACTGAGGAGAACTACAGTGAGATAGATATAAGCTTGAACTGTTTCTTGCTAGCTCAAACAATAGCATAAGATTTCAACAATCTAATTTTATATGTATGTGAAATAAAATGAAATAATAATTGATTAACCCCTGCTTTTCATAAGAAATTATAACTTTATTAAAAATTCACACGGAAAAATCAGTGCTACAAAGCAAGGGGTTTTCCCCACAAAAATGACACATTTAAAAATACTGTAACACAATTAATAAATAATCTATTTTTACCTAGTCAGTTGCTGGAAATATAAACCAACTGGTGCTTCTGAATCTGATGTAGAGAATTCTTCTGGCCTGTAGGCTGTTGTAGAAAGCCAAAGGTCTTCTTTATTATTTAGTGGCCAAGAAGATCCTAACTCCTGTCAATACATTAGAAAAGACTTCATGACAAATTAGACATTTTCTAAGAAATTTATTCATTTTATAAACTTGACTTCAATGTTAGGAATATGTTTTTCTTTGGAGAAGAACTGGCCAACAGTTTGTTGTTTTACTTCATGGAACTGTCTAGTAATATACATTTATTTGTCTTACAATGCCTGTATTTTATTGGGGTCTTTTATTATACTGATGGATTTATATATCATTTTAGTATTGTTTTTGGAAGGGTGATTTAGAGCTATATAATGAAGAAGAGGCTTATGTTAAAAGCCTTCTATTCTACAAGCTGACGTTAGAATTGCTCTAAAATTCATTCCATAAATACAATCCCTTGTGTTACATCTGACACAGAGATACAAGTGATAAATCTTTACTGAAAAGACCTTACTTCAGAATGAACACTGTTTTTTTCATAGAGATATTTTCTTCTACTATCCAAGATTTCTTCTTGTATCCTATGAAGAAAACAGGTTAAAAGGCAAAACAAATCATTGGTGTATTAAAAAAACCAACACATGATTTATGCATTTTCAGGTAGAGGAAAATTTGTTTTGAAACAAATTTTAAAAATGTACTTCTGTAGGATAATCTTATTCAGGTCTACCTAGATTTAAGTCCTGTTGTCTCCAGTTTTAAATAAATGTGCATACAATTCTGCTAATAGTTAACAAATCTAATGCACCTTTAGATCTGATATAATAGGAAGAGTCTTGGAGTAACTTTAAGACTAACAACCATGTTGTGGTTCAAAATCCATTTTGTGAGAGGGTTATCTAAATTAACTACTGCATACATTTCCTGAAATATAGAAAGGAAACAGCATTTAATAAGCAGGAAAAAAGTTTTTATCAGTGCAAAAGTGAGCGAATTATCCTTTTATTATATTAGTAGTACAGACTAGGACAGAGTAGTAGTACAGTAGTACAGACTAGTTCTTGACTTACAACCTTTCATTTAGTGATCGTTTGAAATTACAATGACATGGAAAAAGTGACTTATGACCATTCCTCATACTTATACTGTTGCAGCATCCTCATGGTCATATGATCAAAATTTGGACATTTGGTGACTGACTCATATTTATGATGGTCATAATGTCCTGGGGTCATATGATCACCTTTTGCTACTTTCTGATAAGCAAAGGCAATAGGGGAAGTGTTATATGTAGAAATTACATATTATGAGTTATACCTGTGGAAATGAAGAACAGAAGGGAAACCATACTTATCCGATATTTGAACAATGCAATTATTATTGGACAGTTATATAACTGTATCTAATAAACATGTACTGTTTTGTAACTGGTTATGTTCTAAAGTAAATGTCAGGCTTTTGGGTAGAACATGGGCCTGTACTTTTTGGCATAAGGATATGTGTAGGAGATACTAGGTTATCCTGACTCAAAAGGAACTGGTTAATGATCTATTGTATTACAGATGGTCATAACAGGACCATAACAGGAAGAAGAAGCCATGAGAATGAGAGTAGTTTCCGAGGACAAGGAAACAGGTATTACGCTATAATAATATGGGTGTTGCGTAGGGAGATACATAGCTTGTGAACCCAGGAAGGGGCAGAGACTGCATATTTGAACCTGTATATAAACCCCAGCCCTCCTGGGAACCATGTCTTCTGCCATGAGCAGAATTCCCTTTGGCAAAAGCTTAATAATGAAGCTCTTGTTCACTTGTCTCCAAGTTGTTTTTTGATTATTATCACAGGAAGCCAGATTCACTTTGCAACCATGGTACTAATTTAACAAGTACAATGATTCACTTAACAACTGTGGCAAGAAAGGTATGGAGTAAAATGGAGTAAAACTCACTTAACAGCTGTCTCGCTTAGCAATGGAAATTGCTACAGGACTACCTATCACCTAAATGGGATGGTTGAGTAAGATAATCAGCAAATTATATGCAAGAATTTAGTTAGGAATGTATAGCTATTTTTTATAAGTTTCATAAAAAGAAATGAGGTTGAAAGTTCTGAGCTGGCAAGTTTTCATTTAACAACTTGATGCCCTGTAATTTACATTCTCATGAGCTTAGGAACACGGAAATGTTTGGAGATTTTAATGAAGAGTACAATATGTACTTATGGATGTCAAGTGCCCTAAAGATTTCATTACCTTTTAACACATTTTTATATATTCACATCAATTTTAATGTAAGGCAATGCCTGCAAAAAGGAAATGATAACAGAAATCTTAATACTTTTAAGCATATGATTGGAAAATAGTCAGCGATGACATCTAAAAAAATTGCACCTGAAAATGTAGCATAGAAAAGAAATAAATGCATTTCACTAAAATGGAAAAAGTTGATATTTTATGTACCTGTGCTGGATGTCATCAAGGGACAACTTAGTTGGTTTCCATTCTGGGGACTTGGGAAACTCTACATTTTGTTTTCTCAAAGGAATTTGAGTTTCTCTGTTAATATCTACATGAATTGGCTTGCGAATATTCTCTGTAATTAAAATGAAGAGTAGCAGAATTACAGTGATATACTCTGTGTGTGTGTGTGTGTGTGTGTGTGTGTGTGTGTGTGTATGTGTGTGTGTGTATGTATATATATATATATATATATATATATATATATATATATATATATATTTGTTTTCTGAGGTATATATATCGGTATATATATCGGTATATATACAGATGTTTTGTTCAGCATATTATCAAAACTGAATCCAAACTCTTATAGTTTTAATTCTCCCTAGCAATTGGCAAGCACAATACTATGAGTTACAGTTTTTTGTGAGAATTTCCACTTCCAATTACACTAGTTAAGTTGCAATTTGGAGGAAAAATGCAATTTAAATTTGATGAAATGAATACTATAGTTACAGGGCATCTAGGACTTGGCAATGTGTCTTGTTTTTTGAAAGCTAAGCTGCATTAAATGCATTCTTAAACTTACCAGCATTTTCTTTCTTTGTGGAGATCTGATTAACAACGTAGAGATTGAGAAGGTCCAAACTGACGGCTGAGCTTTTTAAAGAGGATACTCCCAGTAGTTTCATCTTTGACTTAAGTTTTTCCTTTTCAAAAAAATCCTATTGCATTGAGAAGAGGCAGCAGTTATCATACAATTGTTCATATAGGACATTTTGTGTACCTATATTTTAACCAAGTTTGTTTTCTCTGTATATTAACAAAGTGTGTGTGTGTGTGTATCTATCTATCTATCTATCTATCTATCTGCATGGCAGATACTGTAAAATCTCCATTCCCCCAGGGGAAGGTTACTGCAAAATCCCCCTTCCCTCCCCATCCACTAACCTGCTTTCCAGCTCCATTCTCCTCTGCAGGGCAACAAAAGAAAACCCAGCCGATCATCTGGGATTCAGAAAGCAGACAATAGACAGGGTTGGGGCCAGTCAGAGGTGGTATTTGCCGGTTCTCCAAACTATTCAAAATTTCCACTATTGGTTCTCCAGAACTGGTCAGAACCTGCTGAATGCCACCTCTGGATGGATCCAAAATCACCCAGGATCTTACAGTGGATTATTGAGTCTGCCCAAATCTAGCTAAAAATCTTCACACCAGTGATTGTGAACAATTATTGATTTTAAAATAGCATTCAATATATCTGAAAACAGCTACCATATAACTCCACTGTTGTATATTAGGCAAACTTACACATTCTAGTTATAAAAACTATTATGATGATAAAAATGACGGTGATGAAGATTTCTGGATACCTTGAGTATATTTTGAGAGCTTACTTACCTTCTGTTTTCTTCTCTCTTTGGTAAGCATGATTCTTCGACTAGAAGTTGGAAGAGAGAAAAGAATAAGCTTTTTTAGAACAGTTTATAAAATTAATGAATGTACAGTATAATATTGAAGCCACATTTATTCAGCCACTAAATCAGAAGGGATTATTGATTAAATTTCTTGCCGGATTAATTCAAAATTATGAAGACTTAAAATTAGTGGGGTGAAAGGGAAGATTCCAAAGAAGTGAGAATATTTGAATAATGATGTTAAACATTTTTGGACCTGTTCCATTTATTGCATCATTTTTTTCAGGTCTTCCCTTCCTTTATTGCTGTTACTGTTATTATTAGATTTTTGTCCCACCTTTCTCTCTCTTTCTTCCTCATCTCTATACTCAAGGGATCAAATATATTCTCAAATTAAATTCTCCTGCCTCCCATTTTCCGCAGAACAACAACCTTGAAAGGTGGGTTATGCTAACAAAGAGACTGGCTCAAAGTCACTCAGCCACAAACGTGGCACTCAGCCAGTTCTGACCAGTTCTAGCAGAAATTTTTAGTAGTTCAAAGAACTGGCAAATCCCACCTCTGACTGGTCCTGCCCCCATCTATTCTCTGCCTCCCAAGTCCCAGCTGATTTGCTGGGTCTTCTTTTATTGCCCTGCAGAGAAGAATGGAACTGGAAAGCAGGATAGCGGGGTGGGGAGGAAATGGGATTCTGCAGTAACCTTCCCCCAGGAGTGGGGAAGGAATGGAGATTTTATAGTATCTTTGCCCTGCCATGCCCACCAAGCCACGCCCACCAAGCCCACAGAACTGGTAGTAAAAATTTTTGAATCCCACCACTGCTCAGTCAACTTTCACAGCCTACCTGTTAATTACCAAATTGCCTTCTATTATTATCATTACCATTTTTCATCACATGTGATCCCTTATGATTAATTTTGTGTCAACTATTAGCACAATCAATATTGCATATTATCAGCATATATTATTGCCATCATCGTCATGTGTTAATTCACTATTGAATCCTGCATAGCGTTATCATAATTCATTATTCTATATCCCTATTTATGATGATTGGTTGGCCTGCACAGCATAATAAATATTGCACCTTATCTATGTTATAGTAATGATTTGCTATTAATGTATCCATGACATCATCAGAATTCATTATGATTTATTTATTTGATTTATATATTGTCCATCTCAAGAATAACTCCAGGTGGTTTACAATTCAAAAAATATATACTGCAATTAAAATAATGAAAACATTTTAAAAACAATAAAAATACTAAATATAAATATGACATGAAAACATTTATCTGAAATAAATAGGCATTTGTATCCCGATTTATGGTTATTGACTGGCATGATTACCATAATATGGTAAATTCTGCATATTATCATATTAATTTAATCATCATTTGCCATTAATGTACACATAATTCATTATGATGTATTTATTTAGTTAATTATTCAATGATACAGCCACCCATCTCAATCAATGACTCTGGATGGCTTGCAATTAAAAAAAAACACATATACTACAATGAAAAAAAAAGAAAAACTAAATAAAAATTGTTTCATCCAAAATAAATAGGCAAATGTGTCCCTATTTATGGATACTGACTACCATGATTAGCATCCCAAACAGAGCTTATTATCATCATATATTTTTATAAATACATAAATTTTAAATCTCTGAGGTAAGGTTTCCACTAGTATTTTTGAGGAAAGGTAATATTAAAAAAAGAAGGAAGAACTACTCAAAGCATGGCTGTATCATCTCTAGCATTATAGTTTTCTGTTTTTAATTTCCTCGTGATACTGAGAGATGCTCGGTTGTTTTTGGACAATTAACATTTTACAAAAATGTTGACTCTTTGGGATTTAGGACAGAGAAGAATCTCCCCATAAAATAGACCACAATGGAGGCCACGAGGTATTAATCTGATTTCAAAATGAAGAAATCTGATGCCTTCTTCCCTCATGCCAATATTTTAAAATATTTCTGGAATAGAAATAGAATAAAATAAAATAGAATCAGAAGAGGAAGAAAGGCATATTGGATTCATTCACGGCCTTAGATTGTTTGTGTCATCAATAAAGGCTGGATACAAATTAAATTAAAATAAAAAATAAAATGTAAAATAACCCAGCCTGGAAGTAGAGTGTCAACCTTAAAGCAGACAATATGTCTGTCCCCTCACAACAAAAGGGGAAACAGTTGTGTCATTGTGAGGCCTTTTTGGCATCACTCACCGGGACCCCCCAACCCAGTTCATTTTTCCTTCGTCCTGCCAACGCCACCACTGACAGGAAGGCCACACAGATGCCCCCCACACCCCCCCCCCCCCCCCCCCCCCCGGCCTGAAAAGGAGGAAAAAGAGGAAAAAGAAAAAGAGGAAAAGGAAAAAGAGGCAGCCCTTGAGGAGAAATGTCTGCCCCCACAAGAATGGCTGAGGGGAAGGCTCTCCCAGGTGGGTTAGCTTCTTTCTGAACCCGGGGCCTCAGTGGGCACCTCGGGAATGAAAAATTATTAAAATAAAACAGAGGCAATGAAATAAGGAGCAAGATGGGTGGTGGGAAAGAAGAGGGGAAATAAAGATTTGGGGAAGGGCTTGCAAAAGCGAGGTTCGTGAGCCGAGTTTTGGCATTTGCAAGCAAAATCACTGCAAGCCAACTCCTTCCATGCACATGCATAAAATTGCAAGGGTTGAACTCGAATCCATGTTAATACCCTTCCCTGCCTTTGGGGTCCTTATGGAGAGGCTGTTGGCCCCCACCCCGCCCCAGAGAAAACGCAGGGTCACTTAAAGCCATCCCCCTTTTATCAGAACTTTAACAGATAATCAGAGTTGGAAGGGACCTTGTAGGTCATCTAGTCCAACCCCCTGCCCAAGCAGGAGACTCTACACCAGTTCTGACAGATCCAGTCTCTTCTTGAAAGCCTCCAGCGATGAAACTCCCACAACTTCTGAAGGCACCTTCTGATCCATTGGTTGATTGTTCTCCCTGTCAGAAAGTTTCTCCTTATTTCCAGGTTGAATCCCTCCTTCTTCAGTTTCCATCCATTGTTCCTTGTCTGGCCTTCGGGTACTTTAGAAAAGCACCCAAAGGCCAGACAATTTTTAATTTAATTTAATTTTAACTTTATATTTTTTAATGTAAAATCTGGGTGGATTCCTCCCCAGGGGCATGGAGATCTCTCTGGGGCTGGCAAGAGGGTGTGATTGATTCATTGGTCAGATTCCCTAAATGCCAATACGGCTGGAGCTAATCTCACCTACAGGGGGAAAATTCTTATTTTATTTTATTTTATTTATTTATATTCTGCCTTTTATTATTTTTACAAATAACTCAAGCTGTCAGACATATCAACACACCTTCTTCCATATATGTTTGTGTATGTGTATGCATATGTATGTATGTTATGTTATTGTATTATTTATTATTATTGTATTATATATTATATTATAATCTTATGCTATTATGCTATTCTATATTGTATTATATTATGCTATATTGTATTATATTGTGCTATATTATGTTATAATATATAATATATATTGCTATATTATGCTAAAGTATATTAATTATATTATTTTTACTATACTATACTGTACTATACTAAAGTATTATATTAATTTATATTACATTTATATTTATATTATTATATTTTTATATTTAATATATTTATATTTCTTATTTTATATAATGCTATATAATGCTATATTATATTATGGTATATTAATTATACTATTTTGTACTATACTATACTGTTGTTTTTTTGTTATGCTATGTTATGCTATGCCATGCTATATTATATTATACTATACTTACTATACTATACTATAGTATACTATATTATAGTATACTATACTACACTACACTACACTATATTATAGATATGGAAGGCTCCTCCTGGAATAGGCCATGCTGAATGCTGTCTCTCAAGTCAATGGCACTTGCTGGATGTTAATTTCATGCCTCCGGAGTTTTCATATAAAAATTCCCACTTGATTAAGCCAAATGAATGCATGGCAAAAAGTGTACAGGTGGTCCTTGACTTATGGCCATTCATTTAGCAACTTTTCAAAGTTACAACAGTGCTGAAAAAAGTGATGTATGACCAATTCTTGCGTTTACAACCATGGAAGTCAGAGGTGGCCTTCAGCCGGTTCTGACCAGTTCTGGAGAACCGGTAGTGGAAATTTTGAGTACTTCAGAGAACCGGCAAATCCCACCTCTGACTGGCCCCGCCAACCCCATCACTTCTCTGCCTCCCATTGAGTCCCAGCTGATTGGCTGGGTCTTCTTTTGTTGCCCTGTACAGGAGAACGGAGCTGGAAAGCAGGTTAGCGGGGTGGGGAGGGAATAGGGATTTTGTAGTATCCTTCCCCTGCCATGCCCACCAAGTCACACCCACAGAACTGATAGCAGAAATTTTTGAATCCCACCACTTGGTGGAAATGTCCCCAGAGTCATGTGATCAGAATTTGCGGACCAGGCACTATTTATGGCGGCTGCAGCGTCCTGAGTCACATGACTGCCACCCTCCCACAGGGCTTCTGACAAGCAAAGTTAATGGGATCATCAGCTGGATTTACTTAATGACCATGTGACTCACTTAGTGACTGTGGCAAAATTGGGCAGGGTCGCATGATGACTCACAACTGCATTGCTTAGTGACAGAAGTCAAAATTTGTGGTGGTAAAGTCAAGAACTCTCTGTAAGTTAGTATGTATATTGCTAAATCTCCCCACTGTCCCTATCTGCATCAGAGCTGTACAAAGGAATGGGTAAGATAAGAATAAAAAGAGAATTGTTTAATTGGATTTTTAAAAATTTATTTATAGTACTTTATAAATGCACTCTCTCCTTTCTTTGCTCCCGTAGTTTGGACCGGCCTGTAAAAAATGAAATACTCTGTTCTTGATGCTCCTGACTCTTCCCAAACCAATTACCCTTACCAGTGTAAGTTTTTCATTTTTTTTCTCTTTAAATGCTGCTTTTTCCCCCCAGAGTTTAATTTTTAAACAGGAGGAAGCTAAAGATCACACTTAACTGGCATCAATCCTTTTTTTTTCTTTTTCCAATTCCCATTAGTCATAATTCTATTCCAAATACAGGAAGCATTATTGATTATTCAATAAAAAAGGAAGGACAACCAAGTATACATGCTTACATGGCTGATTTCATAAACAGATGGAATAAGGAGAGCTTTATCTTTGATAACTTTTTAAACGGAAATGCAGATGAAAAGGTACAAAAATATGAGACAGGATCATACAGTATATAGGATCGGCATGTATTCATTTATGCACTTATTTTGTAAATGAATATATTGTCCACCTCTAAATGACTTTGCATAGATTAAAAAATAGATAGATAGATGAGAGAGATGGTAGATAGCTAGATGATAGATAGATATAGATATAGATAGATAGCTTGCTAGATAGCTAGATGATAGATACTGATAGCTAGTGTTGTGGTTTGCCAGCAGCAGGTGCGGACGGCTGAGGTCTCTGACAGCAAGGACTCGGACAAGGAATGGAGCCAGGACTATCGGAGAGTGGGGTGCTGCCTTCAGAGTTTGGGGACTCTATCTATCTATCATCTACAGTATCAATATCTGTCTGTCTATCTATCTATCTATCTATCTATCTATCTATCTATCTATCTATCTATCTATCTATCATCTACAGTATCAATATCAATCAATCTCTCTATCATCTACAGTTTCTTTCTTCCTCTCTCTCTCTCTCTCTCTCTCTCTCTCTCTCTCTCTCTGTCTTTATTTTCTTTCTTTGTGGCAGAAAATAAAAACCATGTTTCTCCTCCCCCAACACTTCTCTGTTTCTGAGTCCTGAGCAGGATAATCCCTTGTAGTTTCTGAATACAAGGCTCCTAATCCCTGGCCGGAAATAAGCAGCTCAAGGGATCAGAAACCCATTGTATGATCAGGAAGAGGAAACTCTTATTGAAAGCAGAAAGACAGAGAAAGGAGGTTGGGTTGGTAGCAGTGGCAGATTTATCAGCTTTAGAAGTGTCCCAGAATCAGAAAAGTGGGTGATGATGACCCCTCTTTGTTTAATAATATACGTTGTATGATTTTTAGTCTTTCTGTACGTCTGCATTTTTCATTTATTGTATTGTATTTATAAGTCACTGAGCCACCAAGACTATTGAGGCAGGTAAAAATCTGATTAAAAATCATTAAAAATAAATCAGCAATGCATGTCGCTAAAAGTTTTTTTTGTTTTAAATATGGTTTTACGTTCTGTAAGCTGCCTTAAGTCGCCATGGGTGAATAGGTTGACAATATAAATAAAATAAATAAATAAAATAAAATAAAATAAAATGAAATGAAATACACTTGCCCGTAAGATAAACCAGAAGAAAAATATTTTCATTACGAATTTATGTTGCTAAGCGAGAACAGTTGTTGAGCGAGTTTTGCCCCTGTTCTATGACCTTTCTTGTGACAGTTGCTAAGTGAATCACTGCTGTTGTTAAATTAGCAACACGATTGGCCTATGAATCTGGCTTTCCCGTTGATTTCGCTTGGTCGGAAGGTTGCAAAATCACCCTGGGACACTGCGACCGTCATAAATATGAGTCAGTTGCCAAGTGTTCAAATTTTGATCACGTGACCACAGGGGTGTGTGTATGATTCAACAGCCGTTAAGTAAGAAAAACGGTCAAATGGCCACTAAGCAAAAAGTTGAGGGCTTTTTGTGTTTGTGCGTTGTGTTAATCGGTCCTCAAATGATAAATTTACAAAAGGAGACAGGGTTAAGCTTTGACATGGATTCTTACTTAGCTCATTATTTAGCTCACAAAGCACAATAGATGTTTATATGTCTGCATCGTTTGCGAAAGGAAACATACAGATATATATCTTTTTTTTCTGATGATAATTATCACCCTGGGGTATTGTTAACACCTGAGCCTTCATTGAACTATTTGGTGCAAGTCAGAAGTTCCAGGTAGGTAAATGCCACGTTGTATTCATGTCAGAAATAATTGCTTTGTCCCGTTTTGTCCTGAAAAAAATCTTGATTTCCTAATTGTTTCTTCCAGTCCCAATTTCTTTGATTGCAGCTGGACCAAAAGCACAGCCAGTCCTCGAGTTACGACAGTTCATTTAGTGACCATTCAAAGTTACAATGTCACTGAAGAAAGTGACTGATTATTATTATTATTTTATTGTGTTAAACATTTTATTAGGCTATAGGATAAGATACAAAATACAAAAGTCAGTAGGAAGGCAGTGGGAGGA